TCTGAATGACCTGCACAAGCTCCCACCAGGAAAGCAGGACAGGAGCGGAGCAAGCAGGGGAGGGGGAGCCTGTCGGGTTTCTCATTAGCCCGCTTCCTCCTGACCTGATTGCCGGTCCTTGCTCCAGGTGTGTGGGCTGATGCTGACTCTTATGACGCCCTGAGCTACTTACCTTTCGTCCTCTGACATGTCCCTGGAAAAGAGCGCCTGTTGTCCCATAAGGTGCGCTTCAATTTCTTCTAAATGCTCCCGGAAACTCCGGCAGACAGTCTTCATGGTTTCCATCTCGTGGGCTGTGCACTGGGAGCAAGGAGCAAGTGCAGAGTCACTCTCCTGGGAGGAAGTCCTTCCCGAGGGACACACTACAAAGCCTCTCTCCACTACAGAGTGCCACCCTAACTGGACCCACCTGGTCGCAAAGACTCTTCCATGGACCAAATTGTGCAACCCCTTCTCCACCTCCACCCTCGCCCCCAAACACTTGGAGTCTTAACTCTTCTAAGTGTGCATGCGATTCTGGGCGAGATGGGGGTTTTCTTTGCATTCCTGGGGCTGTATCAGAATAGTTTCTGTCCTCCGGAGTCCTTTCTGTCTTGAGTTCTTAAATGAGCTGACTCGCCACAGAAGGAAGCACAAATGGGGAAGGCAGAGGCCAGATGGCAGGAATGACCAAGAAAGTGAGGAATGCTTGGGCCACAGATGCTGAAAGAGATGGAGGGGTCTCGCCCTAGCGTCACTGCCCTGAGTCAGGACTTCCAGCCTCCTGTGCTGAGAAAACAAGTCTCTGTTCTTTAAAGCATCCCACCTGTGGCATTTTGGGGGCAGCAGCAGAAGGCAGGCTGCAAGCAAAACAAGAAGAAGCAAATATTTTGAGCTAAGGCTCTCATTTCTTGAAGCGATGATAGACAGTCCTCGCCTGGGACCCGGGTACAGGGCTTGTTGAGCAGCCCTCTGAGTGGAGAAGACCAGACCCATCCCGGAGGTGGACAGGCGCTCTGGGGGACTGCAGGGTGCAGGGATGTGAGGAGAGCCCCTGCGTCAGTATTCAATCTTTTGAAAAAAATGTTGGTGCTAACTACGACCTCATTCTTGGTATCAATAAAGTGGAACACGTCTGTTCAGGTGGTATATGTTTAAGGACAATCTGCTTAGAATATAATTGATTAGTTTCAGCCTGCTCAACCCAAGGCCCTGGTGGTTGGAACCTGTGGGATCAGCTTCTCCTGGCGAGGACACACATCTGGACCCAGACTAGCACAGGTACACAATGGTATCCCAATTTCTCCACAAACAGGGCTCTGGAATTTAATTCTACCTCCATGTCTCCAAACCACGCTCCCCATCATCCCTGATGTGAAGCAGCTTCTAAGACATACTCTTGCCTTAGTAATGCAGGATCCCTGGTAGCTGTACTCCTAGAAAGTGCTGGAAACACATAGGGGCAGTTCTACCCTGTTCTATAGGGGCAGTCTGACTCCGAATTGGCTCAATGGGAGTGAGTCTGGCTTTTGGTATTTGATAGCACTGGCTGCTATCTGAAAGGTGAGCATTTTGGACCCACTAGCTGCCCCACAGGAGAAAGATGTGACCATTTGCTTCTGTAAATAGTTTAGCCTTGAGACTTTACAGAGCAGCTTGATTCTGTTACTGAGTGGGAATGGATGTCACAGCAACAGGTTTGGATTTTTGTTGTTGTTGTTGCTAGCCTATTCAAATGGTATCTCCTCACAGCTCCCAAACCCAGTCCATCTGCTGAGAACTCAAATAACATGTTGAATTCCATCTAAGATCAGACCATCCTTTGAGGACTTTCATGACTCAGAACCACAGTGCCACCGCCTGACTGAGTGCTGTGAATGTTTGCAATCTCCACCAGGCCTGTGGGCTTGAAAGCCTCCCAGTTCCACGCGGCAGAGTGCTCTGAGTTCCACACACACTGCCTTTGCTAACTTCCTATGAACAGAATCCTAATAGCTTACAGTCTATCTAGCTACCCCTTTGACAGGTAAGACAGGCAATGAGATGGAACGGACAACACGAAGTGCGCTTTTCAGAAGCTCTTAGAGGGACCTGAGTTAGCTGGCCCGTGGGCTCCTGTTAAGCTTTCATGCCCCCTCCTTCTAAGGAGATAACCTCCCACCTGTTTCTAGGCAGCCTGGTCTCTCAGCCCTTTCCCCAAAGTCCATGACCATGATCTGAACATCCTGATGGCTATTTTGGTGGAGATTCTCATCATCTTTGGAAATAGTTTCATATGTGTAATATTTTTATATCTCCATTATTGTTTGAGAGTTTGATTCTGATTCTGCGCTCTAGTTGTTTTATCCTGGACACCATACATTGCACAGGGAAGCTCTCCCGTTATTTTTGGCATCCACCTGAATGGATTTGTTCTAGGTCGGGTGGAGCAGCCCTGAGGGTGCTCTCGGGCAAGCTTTGCACTGCTCACCCCAAGGTCAAACACTAAGTTCAAATGCCTCTGTTGCTCCATGGGAGGACAAACTGAGGCTGTTTGCTCCCTAATGATTTACAAAGCCTCCGACAGCCTATGTTGAGATGCATGAGATAGAGTCCAGCCAATGGCCACGTGTTTCCTTTTTTGGGAGAGAAGTCTGGGAATCATTACCACTGCTGACTCCAGTGTTTGAGAAGTAACCGGGAGGATGGGCCTTTAAAACTAGAAAAGGATTATTTAATAAATACATTTTTTGACATAAAATGGTTAATAAAGTTATCTACACTGGAAAAATAACCCCACAACCAGATTTCAAACCCAATTTTCCTGGTCCTTAAAAAAAATTTTTTTTTTAGTCGATTTGAGTCACAGCTGGACATATGGGAAGTTATCTGCCCCTTAGCAGTGAGCTGATTGAGTGGCTCTCCTAAGAAGCCCTGCTGATGTCCTGGGCTGAGCAGTTCTATCCTTCTGTCTTGCTATGAGGCAGACTCAACGACAATGACCTTGAGCAGATTCTTGCAAGGTCAGCCAGCGGTTCAAAACCACCAGCCATTCCTTGGGAGCAGCATGAGGCTTTCTGTTCCCATAAAGAGCCACAGCCTTGAAAACTCACAGGGGCATTTCTATTCTGCCCTACAGGGCTTCTATAGGGTAGAATGGACTATGTGGCAGTGAGTTTGGTCTTGGGCAAGACTGACCAATTGTTTCAAATTCATTTTAAAATTCTAGGGTGGTGAGTGCACAAGGCCAGGGGCCATGTGAAATATGGGTCTTATATATTATGGACATTTAATTGTATGCTTAGTTTAGAGCAACTCTTTATGGATAAAAGGAAATGGGGTTAGGGGATAGCCTCTGGACTTGAAGCTGAAAGTGTGTGCTTTCCCTGTGAAAGGAAGTGATGTGATTGGCTCTGAAGGCTGCCATCTCCTGGTCACTTGGAAACATTAAAAAGAAATACAGCTTAGCTCTAGATCAGTGGATCTCAACCTTCCTAATGCTGCAACCCTTTAATACAGTTCCTCACGTTGTGGTGACCCCTCAACCATAAAATTATTTTTGTTGCTCCTTTATAACTGTAATTTTGCTACTGTTGTGAATCGGGCAACCCCTGTGAAAGGGTCATTCGACCCCCAAAA